CCTTCCCCGCCCGACCCAAGACCGCAGTGGATCACCAGACCCCAATCAGCCTGCTGACGGAAACACAACAGAATGAACTCAACCAACCCTGGGAGACAATGCAGAGCCTCACTAGTGAATATTTACAGGTTTCTATCAACTAAAACCTCAAGCTCTGCTGCCTCTTACATCTTTAGAAACGTGTTTTAAGCAGGGTTTGGTGGCTCATGCCTACAATCCTAGCACCCCAAAACTGAAAATAAGAAAATTAGTGAATAAAAAACAAATGAGCCGGGCGGTGGTGGCGCACGCCTTTAATCCCAGCACTCGGGAGGCAGAGCCAGGCGGATCTCTGTGAGTTCGAGGCCAGCCTGGGCTACCAAGTGAGTCCCAGGAAAGGCGCAAAGCTACACAGAGAAACCCTGTCTCGAAAAACCAAAAAAACAAACAAACAAAAAAAAAAAAAAATGAAGACAAATTTTTGTATGTACACATATATGCACCTATTAAAAGGAAATACTGCTGAGCTAGGAATGATGGTTTATGCCTGTAATCTCAGTAGTTGGGAATCTGAGGCAGGAGGATTACTGTGAGTCTGAGACCAGCCTGGGCCACACAGTAAGTTTCAGGTCAGACTGCCTCCAAAAAATGGGGCAGGGGAGATTGGCTAGCAGGAAAGAGGACTTCTGTGCAATCTCGAAGACTAGAGTTCAGGTCCTGGTGCCCTGTGACAAACGCGGCTCCCGTGTCCTGCAATCCCAGCTCCAAGGTAGACAGACAGGAGAACTGTGCAGCCTAACCCAGGACAGGGACAGACTCTACTCAGGGTAGAAGCAGAGGACAGCAACAGAAGAGAACACCCCAAGCCCTCTTGTGGCATCTGCTCTGCACACATATGTATGTACACGTACACTCACACAGAGAGACACGGACACACAAATAAATACATCTTTAAAAAAAACCCTCAAACTAACAAAAAAGGGCTGGGGAGATAGCTCCATATGCAAACATTATGCCCTGAGCTCAGGTCCGCAGAACGTATGAAAAAAGCCACTCTGTGGCACAGACCTATAATCCCAGCTCTTGGGAGACAAACAGGAGGACACCTGGGGTCTGCTGAGCAGCCAGTCTATCTAAATTCAAGAGAGCCTGTCTCAAAACACAAGTTGGAGAGTGACTGATGGAGACATGACATTAACCTCCATTCTCCACATGAATACAAGTGCATGTGCACTCACATGTACACACACACACACACACACACACACACACACACACACACACACGAACATGTACACACAGAAGGAAGCACAGAATTTTACTGGTGGCTTAAAAACACTGCTATGGCCAGGCGGCGGTGGCACACACCTTTAATCCCAGTACTCGGGAGGCAGAGCCAGGCAGATCTCTGTGAGTTCGAGGCCAGCCTGGTCTACAGAGCGAGATCCAGGACAGGAACCAAAACTACACAGAGAAACCCTGTCTCGAAAAACCAACCAACCAAACAAACACACAAAAACATTTTTATGATCAAATCCTTTGACACTGCTCACAAAGGGGGAGGTGGCCCGCCTCACTACTGTGCGTACAGCGAGTACAGGAGGAGTGACCCTGCTGACACACAGAGCACAAGACACTGTGGATGGGGTAGATGTATCTAAAAATTCATCACTTGGAACCGGTGAGTGACGGCATTCAGAAACGCGGTGTATCCACACAGAACTAATGAAAGTCCCTGTCCCATTTGCCTGGTATTCACAAGAAAGAGACAGAGACATGGAAACCCAGAAGGAAGAAGGCCACATGTGTGGGGAGGAATAAACTGGAGTAACATGTCTACAAGGGATCTCTGAAAGCTAGAGGACAGGACCCTTTAGGTTGCTGACCTTGAGAAATGTGAAAGGGGAAACTCTACACTGGGTTAAGCCACTTACTGTGTGGTCATTTGTTATGGCAGGACTAACAGACACAGACAGAAGGCCTTTCTCTTGGCTGGATGTGAGCTCCAGCGTAAGGAGGTCAAGCAGGTGTGTGGGAAAGACAAGCAAGTTCAGCAGTGAAGCTCTCAGTGACAGATGCAGTGACAGGGCATTGACTGAGTCCTCAGGCTGCTGTGAGTAAGCCTTTGGGCACTCCAGGCAACAGAGGTTCAGGAAATACAATCTCTCCCACAAAGCATGCTCAATGTGGATTTAACCACTGCTTCAACGTAACCGGAGATGCAGGAACAGAAACCAGAGCGCACCTATGTCCTTTCACCTGAATCAAATGCAAAGCTTTGAATTCAGAACAGTCACCTGCGCAGGGCAGCCACAGCACGGGCTGGAGGCTGTGCTGGTAGCTGGGCCTGAGATGTGAAGTGTGAACCATCCCGGTAACTTATAAGGTTAAATTACTGATACACCTTCGGTCCCAAGTTCAAACCCCACAGTGAGGCCTAAACAGCAGCCAGCCTGATGAACTGAGCAATAGCCCAGCAGCTGAACAGCAGACAGTGAGACTCTCAGGGGAGCAGGCACCGGTCAAGGGTGGTCTCGCCCTCCACTACCCACTGGGGAAATGCTTGGGACAGCCAGTATATCAGGATCAAAGTTTTTCAGATTTTAGCGTATTTACACAAACTTTACTCATTCAGCATACCTCATCTGAAAATATGACATCCCAAGTGCGCCCAAATCCATACCTGTTTGAGTCAGGCACTTAAAACATTTCAGAATGTGGTACACCTCAGATATCAGATTGTTAGAATTGGGGTACCCAGCCCTATATATACATGTGACCCTCAAAGAGAAAGGAAGGAAAACTAAGAACTTCCTGAGGTCCACCCATGAGTCTGCTTATTCACGGAACATGATTCCCAAAACTTCAGCCCAAATCTGCTTCTTTACCAATCACCCATACTTACACCAGCCAATACAGCCACTGCCCATATTTGACAATTTTATTTCAACTAGTTAAAATTAAATTCCACCTGTTAGCCCGGTTAGCCACCATTCAAGCATTCTATAGCCTCACATGGCCAGTGGCTACCATGCTGTAGAGACAGAGAGACAGACAACATAAGCACTGTTAAGAAAACTCCACCACTGGGCATTGCTCCTTATCAACACAACCTCAGAAGACCCATGAAGAGACACTGAGGAACTGGATTGGGAGCCGGACCTGGTCGCCTCAGAAGGAGCAAGCCTTCAGCCACACATGAAGTACTTCACCCCTGTCAGAAGCCACAGTCTCCCGAAGCCCAGACAAAGGGGGTGCTGTGAGTGTCTGCAGTGAAAGGCAGGCAGAGCCATGTCACCTGCATGTCCCCACCATCCAGTCACATCAGTGACCTTCCCAGACCAGGATGGCCCCCAGCAGGTGGGGCCCGTGAAGGAACAGGGTCAGGAGAAGGAAGAAGGGGGCTGAAAGCAAAGGACAATCTTGGGGCCACCAAGGTCTAGATCTCACCCTGAGTGACAGCTGTGGGCTCCCTCTGAGCCCCAGCTCCCACATCTGCAACAAAAGCACTAACACCAAGGATGCTGAGGCAAAAGCTCTGAGTTCAAGGTCAGCCTGGGCTACACAGTCAGGTCAAGGCCAGCCTGGCAAACTTAGTAGGACCCTATTCCAAAACTTAAACACATTTTTTTTTTTAATTGGAACAGGGAACCAATGAGAGGCCCTAGATTCAATCTCTGCTACTGTGGGAGGAGTGGGTAGAAGCCTGTGGAAGGCTCAGCTGAAGTGATTGACTGTCTTGATTGGACTAGGAAGCCGAGGAGATTGGTAAGGAGTTTTAGAGTGTAGCTGGGGGTGCGGTTTGTTTCTACTAGACTAAGAGGGAAGACCATACTGAACGTAGATGCACCATGCCACAGGCCAGGGCTGGGGTGGAATAAAACAAAAAGTCCTGATACCAAGACTGAGCTTCTGCCCTGTCCTCAGCACCACCAGGGGAGGAGCAGACCCTCCACAAAGAGGGTCCTCCACGAAGAGGGTCCTCCAGGCGTTTGTCACAGAGACCTAAGACTGACACCACAGCCCTCACACAAGCCTCCTTCCAACACAGCAGCGACGGCCAGGGAAGAGTGCTATGAAGAGCGAACCAGGAAGGCAGCAAGTGTCCATGGCTTTGATGTGCTTTGGGTTGGAAGACACTAATGACTTCCACCATCTTAGACTTGAATAAAGAGAATTTAGTCACATGACCCCCAGAAAAACCAACGGAGCTTAGGTACATCAACGAACAGGAGGCATTTTTTCAGCTGGTATAAAGTGTGGCTTAAGTTGGGCGGTGGTGGTGCATGCCTTTAATCCCAGCACTCAGGAGGCAGAGCCAGGCAGATCTCTGTGAGTTCAAGGCCAGCCTGGTCTACAGAGCGAGATCCAGGACAGGCACCAAAGCTACACAGAGAAACTCTGTCTCGAAGAAAAAAAAAAGGTGTGGCTGATAGCCCATATGCTGAGTCCTCCCTCTTTGCTGACAGTGTTAGATGTTAGAGAGTAATACCTTCCCTCTGGGTGATGTTTTTTGCCAAAAAGTGTATTTCATATTTAATTTGCTTTAGTCTTTTCCTGTATAGCTTTTTGTTTGCTCTTCTTCCAATTTTGTATTTATACCTTCCATTCAAAATCTTTGAGGGCACTGGCCTTTTGTTTTCTGGATTGATGGTATTTTTCAGATCTTATGGAAACTAGATTTTGACATGCATGTTCAATATCCTCCTTGGTTTATAGGCTGCTTCCTATCTGTGTGTGAGATATCTGAAGACACAAAAAATATCTGTCTATGACAAGTACTTGACACAACCTGGCAGAAAAGAAAGCAGGCAAACGCCACCCCACCTTGCTCTGCTCGCTCTCTCACTGCAGACCCCGCAAACATTTCAGCAGGAGCAGTGGAGCTTAGGGGCTGGTGCCCAAAGCTACACCAGAGTGCTCACACCTCTATGCAATTACATAAATCTACACTCAGAACGCGGCCACACAACCAGGTAAAAAGTGTCCTTCGGAAGAGGACAGTGGGGACAGTGGCCTACCTTCTCGTCCTGGTGCATCCTGTTGACATTCTCCAGCTGGAAGCTGTGGCTAGATTGGATCCTGTCGAGCTGCTCTCGCTGCCTCTCCAGCTCGCCCTGGAACTCGTTCTTCTTCAGCTCCACAGCACCCCTCTCTGCGGCTGCCCTGCGGACCCGGACTTCCAGCTCCACAATTCGTGACTACAAGGAAAACATGGCCCTGAAGGTCCACATTGTCAGCCAAGACACTGCAGCTCCCTCAACAGACCTCACAGGACCAAAGCTTACAGCCCAGCAAATAGAGCCAGGGAGGGGTGGTGGGTGGAAGATTACCCAGAGGACACAACGGGGGACTTGCCAAAATACTTTAATTAGACACCTGCCAGAGGCAGCCAGTGACCTAGACATCTAGAGGAAGGATGAGTGTATTCTTTGCGGGACTAGACAGGGCAGAGCAAAACCAATGATGATGACCTAGAGACCAGGAGGCCTCAGGGAGCTCAAGTCTGTCCAGGAAACACTTTGTCATTGTTTAGTATGTGTCTTAGGTTTCTGCTGCTATGATAAACACCATGACCAGAAGCAACCTGGGGAGGAAAGGGTTTATTTGGCTAACACATCCTGATCACAGTCCATCAATGAGAGAAGTTAGGGCAGGAGCCTGGAGACAGGAAATGAGAAGCAGAGACCAGAGGAGTGCTGCTTAATGGTTTGCTCCTCCTGGCTTGACCAACTGCTTTCTTTCTGTGCAACCCAGGGACTCCCCTCTCTCTCTCTTATCAACATATGCACCCCCCACATTGGGATGGGCTCACCTACATCAATCACTGATTAAGAAATGCCCCACAGGCTTGCCTCCAGGCTAATCTTACGGAAACATTTTCTCAACTGTGGTCCCCTCTCTCAGATGACAAAAATCAAGCCAACAACAACGACCAGGACAGCATGGCCTCACCCAGAACTGGCTGTGATATGTGGCCCCTGGTTTCTCCGGTGGACTGTAGGACAGGAATGGGCAGAGTCCAGTCCACCTCTGCAGGCCAGCGTTCCAGCCCTCCCCAAATGCTCAACTGGGACACAGAGTGAGGTGTGAACTATAACTCAATAGTCACAGAGTAAGCAGTACTGGGCTGGGGGGTGGGACCAGGGCTGGGGAGGGTGGGCTGGGGGGTGGGACCAGGGCTGGGGCGGGGACTGGGACCTAAAACACCACTAGTATAGGCTACCGGAACCCAGGGACTGGCTGACAGTGACGGGGCCCATGGCGCTGTCGCCCAGCTACTTTAGACATTTAATTGCATCCATGCATTCTAAATCAACAAGATACCTGGAGTTCCACACTTCTGGAGCTCGCAATCCAGTAGTTGAAGCCCAGCACAATGACACAGGCCACCAGGGCGGCCACGATAAGGGGCGGAGACTTCATGCTGCGACGCCCATTTCCCAATCCCATCATCTTAAAACCAGGGCTGAGAATCTGCCAAATAAAAACACAGAAGTTTCCACAATAAGGCTACCATCTCTGACTCACATACTCTGTGGCACACAGACCCTTTCATGGACCAGTGCCCACAGCCACAGGTCTACATGCCTGAATGGTGAGGCCAGTGCTCTGGACTGAGGCTTGTGGATTGGTACCACTCAGGGACCGAAGCAACGGTACCATATCTCGTGAACTCCCAAACCGCTCATCTGTACAATGGGTGCAGCACAGTGCTCACATCTTAGGTATCGTCTGAGGTGACTCACATTTGCAAACAGGAATAACAAACCTTGAGTCCACATTTGTGGGAAATCTGACATTTTTCAGGCTGTCCAGAGAGTCGGGGAGGCTTTGGTCATTTCCCCTCACATTTCCCCTCACTGCCACCCCAATGAAGTCTCCAGAGGGCAGAGCAGGAATGCCATGCTGGAAGAGAACGTGAACTGTTCCGAGTGACATCATGAGCGACATCACTGCTCAATAGGAAGCAGAGAGGACTTGTCCTTCACAGGAGCAGGGATGGGAGATGGGTGGGAACCATGAGAGCCTGAAATCTCCTCGAAACCAGGAGCCAAGATATGCCTTCCCTTAAACTGATTCACTAATTCCGTCCAGAACTTTGGTTACAGTGACATAGAAGTGACTAAGCCAATGGGGAAGGCCAGGGACAGACCCCAAGTCTGCTCTCTCCTCTCCAGAGTCCTGCTGGCTGTTCTCCAGGTTGTTCTCTACTGTGTAGACTCCACTGTCCACTGAGGCAGAGCTGATTGACAACACCAGTGTGACCGCAGCAGAGTATGCCTGCTGTGGGATGGTCTGTATGTCAAGTGTGTTGCTGATTGGTCAATAAATAAATCACTAATTGGTCATTGGCTAGGCAGGAAGTATAGGCGGGACAAGGAGGAGAATAAAGCTGGGAAGTGGAAGGCTGAGAGAGAGACACTGCCAGCCGCCACGATGACAAACAGCATGTGAAGATGCCGGTAAGCCACGAGCCACGTGGCAAGGTATAGATTAATGGAAATGGATTAATTTAAGCTGTAAGAACAGTTAGCAGGAAACCTGCCACGGCCATACAGTTTGTAAGCAATATAAGTCTCTGTGTTTACTTGGTCGGGTCTGAGTGGCTGTGGGACTGGCAGGTGTCAGAGATTTGTCCTGACTGTGGGCCAGGCAGGAAAACTCTAGCTACATATGTCTACACCACAACACCAAGGAAAAGGAACTCCTCACTGTGTCCTAGAGCATGACTGCCCAGGAAGGCATTCAAACTGCAAAGCCAGGAACGACCCCTTGCTGATGGGAACAAGGATCTCAGGTAGGAGAGCAGCCGCCAGGAAGGAGGCAAGACCACCTGGCTGGGTGACTGGGCGCACACTGGAGGAGCACTACAGATTGGATCCTTCGCGCTCCTTTGACCCACTTTAGACTTTCTAAGATCTAAACTGTAAACTCTGCAAACCTCCCCACCTCCAGGCTTCCCTGCAGCGAACCTAAGAACTGTTTTTGTGTTAAAAGTCTGTCTTTGGTGGTGGAACTGGGAGAACAGTTCTACTGTGTAGATCACACTGGCCTTGAACGCTCCAGCCTCCAGTGCCAGCCTTCCACCTGCTGGGACCACAGACATGTGCCACCACAACAGGATAAAAGTCTCTATAAATCAGAAAAGCCATGACGAAACCTGTGGACTCGCAGTTACTGGCTTCACTGTGTTTTAAAACTGGTTAAAGTTAATATTTGCTTAAAAGATAATTTTGTCTGTTTTTAAGAGAGGGTTTCACTCTAGTTCAGGCTGGCTTTGAACCCTCAGTGATTCTCCTGCTTCAGCCTCTTGGGTGCTGGGATTACAGGCATCAGCAGCCACTATACTATGCCTAAATTGTTTTTTCTTGTTTTAGAAAATAGAAAGGGTCCTGAAGATGCAGCTCAATAGTAAGTAGCCTGTGTTTAGCACAAACAAGGCCCTGGGTTAGAATCTCAGCCCAAGTGGGCGGTGAGAATGGAGACCTTCACTTTAAGGTGATTTTTTGTTGTTGTTTGGTTGATTGATTTGGTTATTGTTTCCTTGGATGGGGTTTCTCTATGTAGCCCTGGCTGTCCTGGAACTCACTCTGTAGACCAAGCTGGCCTCAAACTCACAGAGACACACCTGCCTCTGTCTCCCAAGTGCTGGGATTAAAGGTGTGTGACACCATACCAGGCCAGGTGTTACAGAAGGAAGGAAGGAAGGAAGGAAGGAAGGAAGGAAGGAAGGAAGGAAGGGAGGAAGGGAGGGAGGGAGGGAGGGAGGGAGGGAGGGAGGGAGGGAGGCAAGGAAGGAGAAAGCGAGCATATGACAAGGGATGACCTATCAAACACACTGGCACTTCCAATACTTTAGTATTTCCCATTTTAAAAATTTTCCTTTTTTAGGCCGGGCGGTGGTGGCACATGCCTTTAATCCCAGCACTCGGGAGGCAGAGCCAGGTGGATCTCTGTGAGTTCAAGGCCAACCTGGACTACCAAGTGAGTTCCAGGAAAGGCGCCAAAGCTACACAGAGAAACCCTGTCTCGAAAAACCAAAAAAAAAAAAAAAAAAAAAATTTCCTTTTTTAGGCCAGATGGTGGTGGTGCACACCTTCAATCCCAGCACTCAGGAGGCAGAGGCAGGCGGATCTCTGAATTTGGGGCCAGTCTGGGCTACAGAGCAAGTTCCAGGACAGCCAGGGCTACACAGAGACTCCTTGTCTCAAAAAAAAAAATAAAAAATAAAAAATTATTCTGCACAGATTTTTTTTTTTTTCGTTTTTCGAGACAGGGTTTCTCTGTGTAGCTTTGCGCCTTTCCTGGGACTCGCTTGGTAGCCCAGGCTGGCCTCGAACTCACAGAGATCCACCTGGCTCTGCCTCCCAAGTGCTGGGATTAAAGGCGTGCGCCACCACCGCCCGGCCTGCACAGATTTTTAATCGAGTGCATTTGAGCAATCAGATGAGAAGACTCTGGATGGCCATGCTTACCAGTCAGTTTTCGGTCAGCTTGACACAAGCTCTGGTCCTCTGGGAAGCGGAACCAATTGAGGGAAATGCCTCCTCCTTCAGACTGCCCTGTAGGCAAGGGTGCAGGGCATTTTCTTGATTAATAACTGATGTAGAAGGGCTCAGCTCACTGTGAGCCATACCACCTCTGGGCAGGTGGTCCTGGGTTGTATCAAAAAGCAAACTGAGCAAGTCATGGAAAGCAAGCCAGTAAGCGACATCCCATCACGGTCTCCGCCTCAGTCCCTGCATCGGCTTCCTTCAATACTGAACTATAACCTGTGAGTCAAATAAACCCTTTCTTCTCCAAGCTGCTTTTGGCCATAGTGTTTTCACATCAACAGAAACCTGCCTAGGACACAAAGTCACCAAAGCAGAAATAGCACAGCTTCTGCAAACAGTGCTGAGGCCGCACCTCTGTCCCTACCCACAGGATGGGCTCCACCTAAACCCGACAGCAAGCTGCAGAGCAGCTAGTTCAAAAGCCACTTCGGTGAGCAGGCCGGGCACAGCAGCACCGAGGTCTGTGGAGGCTGTGGCCGTCACACTGCTTTTACGTTTAAAAAAGGGATGCTCTGTCTCAAACTGTCTGAGTCAGAGGTCAGCACACTCAGCCCATGGCCCACAGCTGGCATTTTCTGTAAACACAGGCTTATTGTTATGACTATCTTCTATAACTGCTTTCCAGGTATAAGACGGAAGTGAACAGTTAAATCAGAGACCTCTGAATAGGACCATTGTGGGGTTTAAACATTAACAATCTTTAAACAGTCACAAACTTCCTCAAATAGAGACTTAAGGTCAAGTCCACGGAGCCAGGTTAACTTCCTTGACAGTCACCAGGAAGTGGAGAAGCTGCTTCTTCTCACTCCCTCGCCCCCCAACAGCAAGCCACGCTTCCCCAAAGTCTGGGTGTGCATAGTGTCTAGAAAGTGAAATGTAAAATGACTTTGTACCTGGGCATGGTGGGCCATGCCTGTCACCCCAGCTCTCAGGAAGATGAGGCAGGATGGCAAATTCTAGGCTAGCCTGAGCTATACAGCAAGACTAACAAAACAGCCCCCACCCTGTGTGCACAAGAAGGTTTTGGTCAGCACAGTACTGGCTTCACTGTAGTGTGTTTACAAGCGGTGTGTCACCAGGTAGATAACACCACTGTACCGTGCCGTCATCCTTCCTGCCCGGAACCCTGGGGGTACAGCTTCTGAGGACAGTGCGGTCCCTATCATGAATGGCTGAGTGTCTGCAAACAGCCAGCCACACTGCTCACAACAGCCACAGTGCTAATGCTAAGTCCTCCAGGAGCCTCACTGCTCACAACAGCCACAGTGCTAATGCTAAGTCCTCCAGGAGCCTCACTGCTCACAACACCCACAGTGCTAATGCTAAGTCCTCCAGGAGCCTCACTGCTCACAACACCCACAGTGCTAATGCTAAGTCCTCCAGGAGCCTCACTGCTCACAGCACCCACAGTGCTAATGCTAAGTCCTCCAGGAGCCTCACTGCTCACAACACCCACAGTGCTAACACTAAGTCCTCCAGGAGCCTCACTGCTCACAACACCCACAGTGCTAATGCTAAGTCCTCCAGGAGCCTCACTGCTCACAGCACCCACAGTGCTAACACTAAGTCCTCCAGGAGCCTCACTGCTCACAACACCCACAGTGCTAACGCTAAGTCCTCCAGGAGCCTCACTGCTCACAGCACCCACAGTGCTAACACTAAGTCCTCCAGGAGCCTCACTGCTCACAACACCCACAGTGCTAAGGCCAAGTCCTCCAAGCAGCTGCACTGCTTAGGAAAGGACAAGAAAAGCCTGTCCTTATGAATGCCCGGTGCCCTCAGAGGTCAGAAGAGGTCTTCAGACCCTCTGGAACTGGATTTAAGGATGGTTGTGAGCCAACATGCAGCGATTCGCACCAAGCCCGAGCCCTCTGCAAAAGCAACAAGTGCTCTCACCCACTGAGGCCCCCTCCAGAC